TGATGTTTCTATCTGTCTCCCTCTCCCTTCCTCTCTGAAATCAATAAAAATATATATATATATATTAACAAAAGAAATTAAGTTCTGCCAAACCGGTTTGGCTCAGTGAATAGAGCGTTGGCCTGCGGACTGAAGGGTCCCGGGTTCGATTCCGGTCAAGGGCATGTACCTTGGTTGCGGGAACATCCCCAGTAGGGGGCGTGCAGGAGGCAGCTGATCGATGTTTCTCTCTGATTGATGTTTCTAACTCTCTGTCCCTCTCCCTTCCTCTCTGTAAAAAATCAATAAAATATATTTTAAAAAATTAAGTTCTTTTAAAGAAATAGAGCTTTTTTACACACACACACACACACACACACACAGAAAACAAGTGTGAACACCCCACCTGTCCTCTGAATTGGGGGTTAGGATGGACAGTCGAGTTGCTCTCCCCAGCGACGGACACTAGGTGGCAGCAGAGGTCCACGTAGCGCATGAAATCTACTCATTCTCGGGAGCCACACCCCGGAGATGATGTAGCGCGTGAATATGTAGCTTTGAGTAAACTTTCCTAACATGCTCACTGAATGAATCGGGTTTTGAATCTGTCCCTCACACACAGGCATCCAGGACAGCCTGAGAGGTGATCCAAACTGGCCCTGCATGATTTGCTCCCCTTGGCCTTGGAACTTGGACTTGAAGAATGACTCCGGGCCCTAGCCCGTGTGGCTCAGTGGATAGAGAGTCAGCCTGAGGACCAATGGGTCCCGGGTTCGATTCCGGTCAAGGGCATGTACCTCGGTTGCGGGCACCTCCCTGGCCCGGGCCCTGGTTAGGGTGCATGCAGGAGGCAACTCATCCATGTATTTCTCTCACATCGATGTTTCGCTCTGTCTTTCCCTCTCTCTTCCACTCTCCCTAAAAATCAATGGAAAACTATCTTTGGGTGAGGATTAACAAAACAAAAAAATAAATATGGGGGACTGGATACCTGAGAACCTTGGCAGAAGGAACATCTATCCTGCGATGTCCACAGCAAATGTAATATTGTGAGGAGCAAATACATATATTCTGACATTTGATAAAATGGGCAGAAAGACTTTATTCAAGATTAGTGCAATGAGAATTTTAGAGACACTAAAATAAACTGAAAATAACAGCCAGCTGGGGATTTGTAGGTAATGAGCAGAGTGAGGTCAGTGGATGCAAAATTATTAAGAGGATTTAATTAGACATGAAGGGTTAGAAAATTCTTGCAAAAACAGCCTAACAAGATCCATGCGAAGACAGGCCAAGGCATTGGACATCAAGGATGGGGGATGGGGACCTTGGTAAGCTATCCAGGGTGAAAGGATTCCCATTATTGATTTATAAAAATTCTTGCTAAACTTGGCTCAGCAAGGACGGTCACAGACCACCCAGGTCAAGACCTAGTCATGTACAGGACTCAGAAGAGTCTGGCTAACGTTTTATCAAAGATAAGAGTCTTTGTCAGAGTTGGAGAGGGAACAGAACAGGGTGGGTTACATGTGGAATGGTCTAGATTTGAAATATATGGAGGGATAGTCAGGAACCTGAAAAAAACAACAACTTTGTGGAGAATAGGGAGAGTGTAGTATCAGGAGATGAGACTGGATGTGTTTAAATGGAAAAATCAATGTGGAATTTTATTATTATTGTTAATCCTCATTGGAGGATATTTTTTCCATTGATTTTAAAAAATATATATATTTTATTGATTTCAGAAAGGAAGGGAGAGAAGAGATAGAAACATCAATGATGAGAGAGAATTGTAAATCGACTGCCTTCTGCATGCCCTACACTGGGGATCGAGCTGCAACCCAGGCATATGTCCTGACCGGGAGTTGAACCGTGGCCTCCTTGGTTCATAGGCCAATGCTCAACCACTGCTCAACACCAGCTGGGCTCTTTTTTGAAAAAATATTTTTATTGATTTCAGAAAGGGAGAGAGAGAGACATCAATGATGAGAGAATCATTGATCAGCTGCCCCTTGCACACCCCCTACTGGGGATTGAGCCCGCAACCTGGGCATGTGCTCTTGGCTGGAATCGAACCTGGGACCCTTTAGTCCCCAGGACAACGCTCTATCCACTGAGTCAAACCGGATAGGGCGGTAATTCATTTCTTGATGATAGTGGACATACCGTATATTAGTTTCAGGTGCACAGCATAGTGATTGGACATTTATGTTCTTACAAATTGACACCCCTCCCCCTATATCCCCAGTCCCCACCTGGTCCCACCCATACTGATTACGATATTACTGACTCTATTCTCTGTGCTGGCTACTTCTGTTTTTGGATGTATCTGTCTCAACCACCGAGCCAGGCCAGCTGGGGTCAATGAGGAATCTTGAAGTCATGGTAAGGCATTAGGAAGTTGTCCAAAGACAATGTAATTCCAAGAAAGGTTTTGAAATGGCAAAGTGATAGGTGCATATTTAATCAATAAATAAGTAAGTAAGTAAATAAATAAACAAACACAATGTAGTGATGGAGTCAAAAGTCAGATTGAAATAGGTGACACTGTGTTCTTTTGCTCTACAGGAACCAACTGGATATCGGAGATCATCCATCTGATCCACACCAGGGGAGATCCCAGCTGGGTGCAATCAGTGGTCAGCTGGAAACGTTCACCATGGCTAGAAAACGCTTTCGGGCTTGAAGATATAAAGCAGCAGCAGGAAGACCCACGCTTCTACACCTCCCACCTCCCCATTCAATTCTTCCCCAAGTCAATCTTCAAGTCCAAGGCCAAGGTGAGCCCATAACACAATGTCCGTTTGGATCACTTCTCGGGGTGTCCAGGATGCTCATGTTCTCAGGACACGGCTGACATGTGGTTCAGTAAAGGAAGACATGTTAAAGGCTTGCTCCAAGGCACCGTGTCCTGTTCCAGACAGTCTCCCTGGTATTGCTCCAGAGGACACTCAGCCTTTAGTTAAAAAAAAAAAATCCCGGCTGCATCGCCAACACCACGGTCCTCAACATGGATGTGGCCATGGGGGAGGCATCTCAATCCTAAACCAGCACCTAAGTTTCAGAGGAGATGTGAGTTTGGCACTCACCTTTGAAACTCCATGAGAGCTTTTCCAATCATGACACGATCAATGTTGGGCAAGTCGTTTCCATTCAGTACATCTACAGCCCTCCAATGTGTCATTTCAGGAGCTCGAAAGGAAGACTTTAACAGTGAGTGATCCTGGGCTATCAATGTGCATTTTGCCTCATCTGAGATTACAGTTTAAAACATACGACACCAAAAATATTATTCACATTGTATGAAACACCTTCAAACAATCTTACGGGATGTGACATTACTAGATTTATTGTGAAAATATTGGAAGAGATAATAACTGAAAACTTTCCCACCTGGTGAAGGAAATAGACATACAAATCCAGGAAGTGCAAACAGCTCCAAACAAAGTGAACCCAAAGAGGCCCACACCAAAACACATCAACATTAAAATGCCAGAGGCTAAAGGCAAAGAGAGAATCTTAAAAGCAGCAAGAGAAAAGCAATTAGTTACGTACAAGGGAGCTCCCATAAGACTATCAATTGAATTCTCAACAGAAACTTTGCCTTTTAGTGCTGAGTGGTTCACTGCAATGACCCTCTCTTATGCACTGATGGAACTCGGCTGCCTCTCTCCCTTCTCTTCACTGAGGACACAAATCCTACTAGTCCTGAGACTTTCATGCATAGATTTCTATCATGATCTCTCGCATATAACTTTCCTTAATGACTTATGAACAATGACAAAAAAAAATCCCACAAAAAACAAACAATGACTTGTTATAGGGAAGTCTTCTCCCAGTCTATATGACTCTCTTTTGTACACATAAAAGGCAAACGCTGAGCAGAGCTTAGAAGCTGAGACCGCCCTACTTGCTTCTTCCCCTGTACCTGTCCTTCACTCTTTGAGGAAACATTGGAGAAACGTGCACGTTCGTTTTTATCTCTTGAGTTTGCACCACTTAAAGCAGCATGATGAGTCTATTCATGCTACCATTTTGAAATTTAAATATATTTTATTGATTTTTTTTACAGAGAGGAAGGGAGAGAGATAGAGAGTTAGAAACATCGATGAGAGAGAAACATCGATCGGCTGCCTCCTGCACATCTCCTACTGGGGATGGGCCCACAACCCAGGTACATGCCCTTGACCGGAATCGAACCTGGGACGCTTCAGTCCGCAGGCCGACGCTCTATCCACTGAGCCAAACCGGTTTTGGCTACCATTTTGAAATTTATAAAGACCATTCACATCTGCCTGATCCCTATCTGGGAAATGCTGGTATGGTAGGAATTTCTAGGAAAATCAACAGAAGCCCAGGACATGAACTTCCTGGAAGAACACTGAGTTGGGTGTCACTGTCAAAGTCCCAACAAAACTCAGGATGTTTAATTCACACTCAGGGCTTTTTAGTCAGTGGTGCCAAAATGGAATAGCATTATTCCCCCACTCCCCGCCCCCCCCTCCCCGAGAGAAACCTTTAGAAAACTTCTCCATTCATTACGTCATAACGTCCTTGAGAACCAAAATGATCCACACGTTTCTCACTGTTCCCTCTCAAAAGCCTGAGTAAGTGTCTGTCATATGGTGGGTTCTTAATATTTTGTTAAATGAGTGAATGAAAGAAGATTAGATTGAAGCTCAACACTTTAATGAGAATTGAATTTTTCTTGACTTGCAAAAATTTCAGGGCAGTGAGAATGAGTATACCTATTTTTATTTCCTTTTTTTTTTTTTCATTTGAGTGTGTCTACATCACGAGAAATCCCAGAGATATTCTTATTTCTGGTTACTATTTCTGGAAAGCGATCAAGGCCACCAAAAATCCAGGCTCACTTGAAGAATATTTTGAATGGTTCCTTCAAGGAAATGGTGAGTGTGACTCAAAATAAGGATTCTAGGTGGAAGGGTGGAGTTCCTGGCCCTCACATCCAGGTCTTAATTTCTTATGGTTTATACAACGACATTGCAATCCAACCTCGATATTGTGGAATCTGAGCAAGTCCCATTTACATAGAACCTTTGTCAACATGCTTTGCTCCCATAACATTTTTTTAATATAAATGTATTTACTTTATTTTATTTATTTATTTTTAATATATTTTATTGATTTATCGATCAGCTGCCTCCTGCACACCGCCCACTGGGGATGTGCCCGCAACCAAGGTACATGCCCTTGACCGGAATCGAACCTGGGACCCTTGAGTCCGCAGGCCGACGCTCTATCCACTGAGCCAAACCGGTTAGGACTGAAGTCCTTTCTCTTGCATTGGGCTTTCCACCTGGCCCCCCAATTTCCAAATTACTATTCCTTGTCTCGCCATTTGCATGCAGCCCTTCTCCAGATCCCGAACTCTAAGCCACGTGGGACGTGGCTCACACAGGAAGTGTATTAGTTTCCTATCACCGCTGTAAGAAATTATCACCAATTTATTGGCTTTAAACAACAACCAAAAATTGTCTCATGCTCTGGAGTTCAGAGACCCAAACTATGCTTATGAGCTAAAAGTAATTCAAGGGCATTAGTACATTCCATTCTTGAAGCTCTAGGGGAGAATTCACTTCCTGCCTTTTCAGCTTTTAGAGGACGCCCACATTCCTTGGCACATGGCCACATCCTTCCAACTGTACTGTCATCACATCCCCTTCTCTGATTCTGACACTCTGAATCTCTCTTACAAGGACCCTTTTTAAATTTTTTTTAAATTGAAATTTTTATTTTTTGTTAATCCCCTCCTGAGGATATTTTTTCCATTGATTTTTTAAGGAGAGTGGAAGAGAGAGGGAAAGACAGAGAGAAACATCGATGAGAGAGCACATTGATTATTGATTGCCTCCTGCATGAGCCCCAACCAGGGCCAAGGCCAGGGAGGAGCCCGCAACCAAGGTATGTGCTCTTGACTGGAATCGAACCCGAGACCTTTTGGTCTGCAGGCCGATGCTGTAGCCACTGAGCCAAACCGGCCAGGGCTCTAAGGACTCCTGCGATTGCATTCTTTCCGTCTGGATAATCTTCCCATCTATAGATCCTAAATCACATCTCCAATGTGATTTGGGAATTAGGACAGACACACTTTTTGTGGGGACCCTTATTTGGCTATTCAGAGCTCTCATTCAAAACGTTTGAATGACAGTCTGGTGATGAGACTGTGTAGGAGGCGTGCTCAAGTGTTTCTGATGGGATGGGAAAGGGTACAAACATATCTAGGGTAACTGAAAATTCTGACCTTTTAGCGTTTACACTTTCATGTGTAACTTCTCCTTCAGTGGAAACACACACACACACACACACACACACAGAGAGAGAGAGAGAGAGAGAGAGAGAGAGAGAGAGAGAGAGAGAGAGAAGATAAGCATATAAAGCTATTGAAATGGCCCTTATTTGTCAACTAGCTTATTTGGAACAAATCAACAATATCAAAGTGACAGGCGCACTTGACATGTGATCCCCCAGCTACATTCATCTGAATAGAGAGAACATGTGGCAGAAACAAAATTCCTGTAAGACGTGCTGTCCCAAAGGTATGGGGTGAGTGAAGGAGAGGCAAAAACATGTGCTGTCTACACGTAATTACATCATTTAAATCACATCAGGAAACACACACACACACACACCCACCCACCACAAAACACCAAAGATATTGACTCCAAACTAGGTGGAATTTGAGTTCAGCTCTTTCATTTCCCAACTAAATTCTCTTTAAAATTCAAAATCTCTTTTTTCTCACAGGGAGATCTGGAGCTCATCTTACATAGGGTATCCTATAGAGCACTCAACTGGTTGCTTATCGAGGCAGTAAATGCAGAATTCTATTTCTCGTGCAAATGAGAGGACACGAATTTCCAGCACTTGAGTCACTTGCTCATCAAATACTTACGGCATCGGGAAAGGGTGCAGTGTCGCCTACTTGCTGATCAACTTCCGAAGGCGTGGCTGACATGAGCAGCGTTGCCTAGCCCAGTGGTCAGCAAACCGCGGCTCGCGAGCCACATGTGGCTCTTTGGCCCCTTGAGTGTGGCTCTTCCACAAAATACCACGTGTGGGCGTGCACATACAGTGCGATTGAAACTTCGTGGCCCATGCGCAGAAGTTGGTTTTCGGCCTGGGCGAGTCTATTTTAAAGAAGTGGCGTTAGGAGAAGTGGGGGGAGTCCGTTGGTCAGGCGACGGGAGACGCGGCGCGGGGGAGGCGCGCGTGATTCATGCACCAGTTGAGTGAGCCAGTCAGGCAGCAGTCTCATTGTGCAGTGATTAGGGCTAGTCGTGTCCGCAAATCGTGCGTGGGTGACAAAAGTACTTACTCGAAGCATAAAGTTACCTGTATTTTTCCAACCAGCTGCAAGTCCTACAGGATTTTTGTCAATCAATTTAAGAA